AGAGGGGATAGTCGTACAGCGATAATGGGAATGGGAATGGGACATAAGACTCGACATAATGGACATCAGGCAACGAGATTGTCACACAGAGAGAGGGATAGGGAGAGAGGGGGAGAGAGAGAGAGAATGCTGACCTGAGTTCTCCTGTTGTACGTTACCACGCCGTCTCCTTGCACAGTGACGACGACCTCGCTGGGATCCGTACCTGACGTTGACCCGACGATAGCGCCTGTCTGCTCCCTAGACACTCCGACAGTGCTCGCTGCGCGGCAGAGGCAGAACCCGTTCGCATCCATCCTCTCCCAACTCCAGCAGAAGCCGCCGCACTTTTGCTCTTCCTCTTACGGACGGACTTCCTCCCCTCCCAACCTCTACACCCAGCCACCCCACCCTCCCTCCCCTCTCTGGTTCTCTACACCTTCACATCATGTCTCTGCCTCCAAATGCTGCACCCCACCCTCCCTCCTTAATACCCACTTCTCTGTCCTTCTTTCCCTCCTCCTACCCTCGCAACAAGTCCGCAAGTACTTTTTGTTACATGTTCCCCGGCAAGAAAAAAGCTTCACTAAATTGCACTGCACGAGAAAAAATACGGATGTCACCCCTTGCTCCAATGGCCCCACCGAGCTTCGCTGACGTGAGCTTCGCCGTCGTGGTCTCCTAGGATCTGATACACGGGAGGGACAACGGCGGCGCGCGACAATGCATTAGGAGACAAACTTAGCCCAGCCTTTTCCAGAGGGGAGGGCGATGGGCGGCTGGGGGGATATCAAACGAATCATTTAAAAATAGCGATCTGCAAAGTATTGCTGAAGAAAGAAGAGAAGGTCGATGAATGAACGATGCCGTAATGGACAACTCCTCACGTGACCAATCCGGCCAGAGAACACACACACACACACACACACACACACACACACACACACACACACACACACACACACACAAACACACACACACACACAGAGGACAACTCCTCACGCGACCAATCCAGCCAGCGAAAACACACATACCCACTTCAAACTCCTGATAAGTCGGTGAAAGTCCAATGAAACAGTTCGGCATGTGGAGTTGTGTATAGCGAACATGACAACACACACACACACAGACACAGAGAGAGAGGGGGGGCCACAGTGTGTGTCTGTGTGTGTGTGTGTGTGTGTGTGTGTGTGTGAGAGAGAGAGAGAGAGAGAGAGAGAGAGAGAGAAGAAGAAGAAGAGAGAGAAGAGCAGAGAGAGTTGTCGTTAAGCTTAAAACCTGAGTTCTTTTGGGAATGCCTGACACAATGTTCGGATCGCGATCGAAGTTTTTCAGATTTGAATGACTGGCACCATGAGACTGGGCTACGTGGAGCGCCGAAGTAAAGGATTCAACCGGTCGCTGCCAAACCGACCGTCAACAACTAATCGCCGAGAGGGCGTTGGCCGGCAATCTCGCGTCATCGTCGTGTCGTGATGGTCGAGAGGAAGAACAGAAACGAGACGCAGGTGGACCAGCGGACGACAGGGTGGAGAGAGGGGCAAGCTGGGGCGATCGTCGATGCTTGCAGGAAGCCCCCAGGGAAGGGCACTCCCCAATGCTTCGAGAAACCCACGGTCAAGACGTACACGAGCCCGTCGCGCCGCCGAACACCGGCCTGACATGAAACGCAAGGGAAGGCGACAGCCGCAGATCGCAAGCTACTCCAGTTCGGTAGGGGCGCCTTTTCGGCTGAATTCCCCACGTACCCCAACAAGCACCCTGGTTGGCAGCGGGGGGTCAACATTGCGGCAATACCGTCGTTCCCCGAGCATAACGCATATATGCGTTTAAATCGAATTTCGAAGTAGTCCACTTTTTCGTGACTAAGGTTACTTCGAATAGAACCAAACGCGTAGTATTCGAACAAGGTGGATACGCGTTCTATCCGAATTGCGAAAAGAACAACATGTTGTATTCGAATAGAACGGTTGCCTATCTCTAACGCTACAGTAGCGCCTGCTCCTTTTTTTCCATGGCTACAGGGACAGGCACCTCCCAACTCTAGCGAGTTCAGTATGTCAGGCTGCCTCAAAACCGGGTTAAGAAAGTCGTAATGTGAAGCCAAGAGGAATTTTATATGCCTCACTCAACCACTCTCCAAGGGCCAAGCACAAAAGACAAAAAATACAGCGTTGTATGTTCCATGTTATAGAGGAAGATTCATTCTCATTTTGCACATTTGGTGAGGAGTGGAATATAAGGAATATGTGAATTAAACCACCACTCCTCCCGCTGAAAAAAACTTGGGGACCGGTAGCACAGGTTTATGAGGGTTACCGGTAGCATAATGTGAAGAACCGAATGAGTGGTAAAAATGAAATTTGCATCGAATCGGTGCAAATTATAATTTCACTACCTTTTTTTCTGATTTTTTCATGGAAAGATCAACGACAAAATCTATCGAATCACAAATTTTCATATTTTTTTTACCAGTATTTTGAGCATGAAAAATTGAAGAAGTTTGAGTACTTTTCCATTGGCCCACAAGTGGCAGAGTCGCAAAATTTCAAATATTTTGGTATATTTTTGTGAGCGAGAAAACTTATCAAAATTTGCACTTTTTTGTTTTTATCGACCTTTGCTTAAATTGTCGTTGACCTCCACTTTTTTTAGGCTACCAGCCTTCAGAGGTCCCGGAAAGCCACTTGTTCTACATCTTGGGCAGTGGTGGTTTAAGCGAATAAAACACAATCTACGAGATTCATTCGTCTACGACGCATATGCATTATACTCAGGAAAAGACAGTAGCTCGTATGAGAGCAGGAATCCCTCGACTACCCAATAGAAAGGTAAGTATACTCAAGGCATCCAAAATACATTTCACGGCAAGTGAACGGTCCAAAGTCCAGTTGGTGATCAAGAGAGAGTTGCATTACAAGTCCAAATACTGTTTCGAAACTTGGCACAAGGTCCAAGGAACGTGGTGGTTTCACTGTACTTGTCCGTTGAGCTCACGGTAACAACACGTACCGCATTATTTATGTTACCCAACTCAATTTCACTCCAACGTGTGCAGAGGTAGGCACCATGCACCTCTCATTAACTGTGGTGAACAAACCCGCTAACTTTGAGAAAGAATGGTGAGTGAATAATCATGGTTGAGCCATAGGAAAATTATTGTTCACTCTAATTGCGAAGGCAATAAAACTCTATTCAAATTCACATCATGATATATCAAAAAACTAATAATGAAACAACAATATAAAGAATGTACTTAGAAAATGATTTTTAATTCTTCAACCATTTTGTATTTTTAATGTTCATCTAATCTTACTTTTATAATTCACCTACCAATCATAAAGTATAACAGTGATTGTTTAGGTGACAGTATGGTAGCAGTTGTCATTGATTATTTAAGCAAATTGAATAAATATTCCTGCGAGTTGTTTGTCAAGCCACATAGTTTTTCAAATTTACTAATCATGAAGTGTGAGAGTGATTGTTTAAGTAAAAGTACAATAACCATCATCACCATCTAAGTAAATTGAAGAGTCACATAGTTTTTTTTTTTCCCTTTTTTATTAAAACTTAAGTTTCATTATTATTTTTAACTACGTTATAGAGCATATCAAACTTTTAATGCTTGCATGATTGAGAATATTTTTGACCGTATTATTTAGGACTTAATATTTTAGAAACCCATAATGTTTATCCATGATAAAAAGACACTTGTACCTCTCGTGATACATCTACAATAAAATCGGGTTCTACAAGGCACGACTTTGTCTGGTCATAACTCATTATTGAGAGGTGTATCTTTCTTTAGTTATTTGCCCACTAGTGATAATTTTTATTAGACCAATCAAGAGTTTTGCTCGTTCGTTATAGCATAGGGTATGTATGATAACAACTATATCAAGTTATCAATCTTGTATGTCACCGGTTATTTGTGACGATAATTTTTTAAACCATCATTGCTCACAACAGTTCGAAACTCATTTTCTAGTGAAAATGCTGAGTTATGACGGGGGTTGGAGACCACTAGGCCCAACGGATATAAAGGGTTGCGATAACTGAGAAAATAAAAAAAACCTAATTTTGATCTAGGCTACCAGTCGGGTCGCCCTGGTCACCCTATTTTTCCGGGCGGCCAGACCAGGGAAGGTCTCCCTCCCCCCCCCCAAGAGAAAAAAAAAATCCGAAAAAACTATGTTATGCAGAAAAACAAGTTGAACAACTTTGACCTCGGGGTCGAATCAAAATTCTTTACGAAATTTAAAGTAAAAATTTAGATTATAAATTAATTTTTATTTTTGTATTTTTTAATATTTTTTTGGTCCGGCCGGGCAAATAGACCCGGGTCACTCTGGTAGCCTAGGCTACCATCCGGGTGGCCAGCCCGTGCAAGGACTAGGGAAGGTCCCAATAAAAAAAAAAAAAAAAAAACAAATCAAAAACATCCGAAAAAAAACTATGTTATGCAGAAAAATAAATTGAAAAACTTTTGCCTCAGGGTCACATCGAAATTATGCAACAAATTTAGAAAAAAAAATAAAATTTAAAAATATTTTTATTTTTTATATTTTTTTAATTGTTTTTGGCCCGGTCGGGCAAGTGACCTCGGGCCACTCTGGTAGCCTAGCTGGTAGCCTATATTTCGATAATATTTTATGCTCAAAATAATATATTAAAAAATACAAAAAATAAAAAATATATAGATTATGTTTGATATTTATATATTAAAAAAAAAAAAAATAGCGAAAAAAATTATCATGCTAGAGTAAATGTATCAATCAATCATTGTCCCTGAACATATTAAAAAAAAAAAACATTGTTTCACTACCCCTTGGCTACCAAACCTCTTGTTGTTATCATCCCGTCACTGCAATTTACTTTCCTATCCATGTGAGCGGTCTGAAACAAGATATCGACTGCAAAAATACATTTTAAGAAAACATACAGATTATAACGAAACGTGTAATTAAATACTCGGATATTGCTGCAACGAGGTACATGAAGATAGTTGTTATACAATAAATAACGAATGGAAGTTGACATGCAATCTGATATGGTGTATAATGGATGATGAATCATTTTGTGAGCACTTACGTGTGCATACTTTGGTGTTTTTTATCAGGAAGATTCTCATGTTTGGCTGGTCCTGCCCGGCCGGCACCTGGCCGTGATGCCTGGGGGAACATGACGCCCGGGGTAACCGGGCATGCAATTTTTTATTTTTTTTTCGTGCTTTCGAAGAGACCTAAAATATGGACTCATTTATTTTTTTGCGAGTTGACTGTCAAGAGGGGGAGAAAGGGGTATAAATTGGTTTTAAAGCGGTTAAAGAGGTTTAAAGGGGGTGTCTGAATCTGATTTTTTTATTTTTTTATTAATATCCGATTTTGTGGGGAATTTTAATATGTCCCTTAACTCAAAGTCGTTTGTATTACAATTCTATACAATATATTTTTTTTCTAGGCTACCAGAATAGTCCGGGGTCACTTGCCCGGCCGGGCCAAAAACAATTAAAAAAATAAAAATAAAAAAAATATTTTTTTTTCTAAATTTGGTGCAGAATTTCGATGTGACCCTGAGGCAAAAGTTGTTCACTTTATTTTTCTGCATAACGTAGTTTTTTTCCGGAGTTTTTTTATTTTGTTTTTTTGTTGGCTGGGACCTTCCCTGGTCCTTGCACGGGCTGGTCACCGGGATCCGGACGACCCGGCTGGTAGCCTAGTTTCTTTTCTATTTTTTTATTTTTTTTTAACTTTCATTTTTTTTTGCGATGGGGCGTGTACTCGGACATAAATTAGGTGTCGGGGCACCCGGGACGTGTACTTGGACATAAATTAGGTGCCCGGGCGCCCCGATGTTCGGAAAAACAGCCTAGTTTTTTTCCTTGTTTTTTTGTGTTTTTTTTTTCAAGTGATTTTGCATTGACAAGTATCTCTAGTCCTTGATGTAACCGACGGAAAAGTACGACCCTACTCTACTATATTACATTCTACAAGCATTTGGACATTTTCTACACCCTATGTATAAAAAATATAGATTTCATAAAAACGTTAAAATATTTGTGAATTATTGTACAGTGGAACGAGACCCTATTTTTCTTAATTTCAACTGCATATTAAGAGGGTCTCACTCCACGATACACTAATTGCGCAAAACACGAAATATTTTTTTGCTATAACATTAAAATATACACTACCATAATTTTGTTTATTTCGTGCAAGTGGTGAGTGGTGAAACGAGACCTATAACAATAAGTGTGGATGTCGGTCTCACTTTACTTTTCAAATATGCGAAATAAGAATGATTTTTCACAATAACATGAAAAGATACGCTGTCATATTTTTTATTTTTTGTGTATGCGTTGAATAATAAAGTGACGCTCTATCTTTGAGATAACAAATGACGGACAAAAAAAAAAAGGGTTAGGTTCCACTACACAACAACCTACATGCAATGAAATATTTTTAAGACTGGATACATTCAAAATGTAAGTTTTTTTTATTTTCAACCGGATAGATACATAATAAAATATAATTTATTTTATAAGGGAAGATATACTAATGTCACATATTTACGTCAGTGTTTAGTACCCCTCTT